GACCCAAACCACCGTACCGGATTCCTAACCATACACATCGGCGACACTATCACTCGCCGGCGTGCGAATATCTCCTCTACCTTCGCAAATTTATTCGAAAAGGATGAGAATTGTCTGAATACTGCAGAACCTAGCGGGGCTCGTCTTGCTAGCAACGATTTGCGGCCCCTTTCTTGTATTGAAAATGTAACGCCGAGTACTAGGTCTAGAGTGAAGAAGCGCGATGATGGATCTGACCGTATTAGCAAAGCCGCCCTGGAGATGTCTGGTGTTACTACCCAAATTTCCTTTGGGCAGGACGTATCGTTACGAGAAACATTACAAGAGCGTGACACACGTAATCCATTCAGTGATCACAACCATGTCAAATCGTCAGAAGAGAGTACCTCAAATGGTAATTCGCCTACTTCACTCACTAGAGTTCGCAGCGCTTCGTCATCTTACCCGTCCGAAGGTATCCGTTCTCCGCCAGATCATTGCCCTTCGCCACAGTTGAATACTTGGACAGAAGACTTCATAGCTGAAATATCTCACTACGGCACATATCCACCGGGAAATCCCCCAAGTAAATCCAGTGCTTCGATCAACGATGCGTCAGTATTGAGTAACAGAGCTGGTAAGTGTCTGATGGAAGAACTAGCTGCAGCCGGTGGGGTTTCGGATACCGATACCAGAACAGCAAGTAGGGATTATACTCCGAAACCACCGCTTTCAGATGTTGCTTCCACCAATTTTCCACAAGAGCAGCTAGACAAGGATTATGACAGCGATCACTTTGCCACGGCGAGACAGGAGATCCGGAGTGTATCACAGAGGGCTCCCTTATCTGTACTAGATGGCCACGGCCCGAGTACCTCAGCTATCCATGGTAACTATCCTGAACTTAGATCTTCTCATACTGGCTCGTCCAGCGAGGAATTTCCATTTCGGCCGAGTCATACAAGTTCTACAGATCGCCTTCGCCGGAGCGCGGAGACATTTAGGACACACTTGACGAAAAAAATACGCTGGAAGAATCAAGGCAACACTTATCATACTATGCCAGCAGCTGTTGCGCGAGACGACTCCAGACGGGGCCGATTCCCTGAAGTTTCGCCTCTATCGGAAAGTCCGCAGCAACCTGGGTTTCATCTTACAGGATCCAATGCATCTTCTATTACACTAGTCAAACGAATCCAGAAGTTCAAGCTCAAGAAGTGGATAAAAAAGGTATGTGTTAAAACTAAAGTGCGGTTCGATAATGCTATAAGCATAGAAGCGGTTCCGCATGCCTTAAGCAAGCAGAAGTCCAAGTCATACAGACAGCGGAAGTCAAAAAGGCGTAGCAGCGCCTACAAAAGGAAAGCAAAACTTAATAGGAGTCCCTGGAAACCATTCAAGACCACGAATAAAACAAATCAGAGTCCGGGAGTGGGGGAGGGTGTAGCACATCGATTCATGAACTCACTTAGACCGAAGCACAGCATTCAATTTCCCATACGAGAGAAGTCTAGGGCTGAGCGCAGAAGAGTACAATCCTGTCCACCTTGAAGGTAACTAATATAGTATAACCATTCATGGCACTATCACGATAGTCTCGTGGATTGTATCTGTCTTTCAACCAAGGGGTTCATACGGCGGATTAGGGTCCGTTCATAGGACATTTTACTAAATGTCCTCTAGCCTTGGACTATGAAGTTTCTCTATAACCATCTCCTATAGAGCAAATGTATCAATGACAAAATGAGTTAAGACTAGTACTCCTCACACAACACAAGTACCGTGAAGCGAAGGTATATTATTAGGGCTATCTTAATGGCCAACATATGTCATTTACTTACCTGATGAAGAGAGATAAATATCGCAGGTGCTCAAAGCTGATAAGGGACTTGTCCGGCACAAATTCGTGATTGCATATCAAAGAGATAGAAAAGTCTGTAAATAATAGATACTTAGTCTCATATGGCAGGTTTAATTTCCTTAAACTGCTATACCCCTATATGTCTCTATATGCCCCTTTCCAATCGATGGTAAATCCTAAGCCTCATGTAACCTACCTCAGACCCAAACCAGAAGAGGGACAAGGTTGATCGATTAGTACATACAGGAAACTAAGTAGGCACCGACCTTTGGATAGGGACGGGAATTTCCCTAGGCAATCAGTGCCGCTTATGTCTATGATGCCTCGTCATGCCGAAGCCCCAACCATCTATTACACAAGGATACGAATTAGCAGGCTACAACTCAATAGGTACCTAGGTAGGTACCTATTTAGATAGTGTAATGTACGGGTTAGAAATAGACAGCGACAAGAACTCACATTGGCTAGCGACGTGGATATCCAGATCCAGTTCGTCGGCCCAGTGCCACACCAGATCCGGATCCTTCAGGAACGCGCGCCCTACGATAACAGCATCTGCCGACTCCGCAGCCAGGATGGCCTGGGCCTGTTTGCCCGAGGTGATCTCACCGACGGTGCCCACGAGCGTGCCCGTGCCGGAAACCGCCTTCTTGATCGCCGCGGCGTGCGGCACCTGATAGCCGGGGCTGGCGACGATTTTCTGGCGCGCGTCGGTGCCGCCGGCCGAGACGTCGAGGAAGTGCACGCCGCGGCCGGCGAGCGCCTTTGCGAGGTCGACGGCGTCGGCGAGGGTCCACTGCGGCAGGCTGGGGTCGTGCTCGAGGTAGTCGGTTGCGGGGATCCGGCAGAAGATGGGGAAGGTGCTGGGGACTTCGGCTTTCAGCAGGTCGACGACCTCGAGGAAGAGCCGCGTGCGGTTGGCGAAGGAGCCGCCGTATTCGTCGGTGCGCTTGTTGGTGGATGGGGAGAGGAATTCGTTTAGGAGGTAGCCGTCTGGGGGTGGGGGGTTAGGGGTTTGGCTTGGTTTGAAGGCTTGTTCGGGGTGGACTTACGTGCTCCGTGGACTTCGATGACCTGCTTTTGTGTTAGAACTGTCTACTGACGGCTTATCTACCTACTTAGGTAACGAAGGTACTTATAATTATGGTCGAGTTTACTTACATCTACACCAGCCTTCAAAGCACGCCGGACGGCAGCGACCCAATCTTTCTTGAACTTCTCAATGTCTTCTTTAGTCGCTTCTTTCGGCACGAGCGTCTGCGGGTTATAAGCTTCTGGGGATGGAGCAACGACACTACCTGGCCATCCTTCCGACTAGATGATGCGTTAGCTCCGTTAGAATATTCTTAACGGGGCCAGGCCTCTACTTACATAGTCACGCGCCGCGGCTTTTCGGTCAATCCATGGCGCGACAGTGCTTGCCTTCCGTCCAGCATGGGCTAGCTGCACACCAAACTTCGCGCCTTGGCTGTGGGCGAAATCAACGATTTGTTTCAATGGTGCGATGTGTCCGTCGTCCCAAAGGCCGATATCTTGGGGTGAGATGCGTCCTTCAGGCGAGACGGCGGTGGCTTCTGTCAGGACTAGGCCTGCTCCTCGAGAAGCAAAACTCCCGAGGTGGACTAAGATTCGCAAGGATTAGCTCTTTTATAGAGAAAGAATGAAGTTGATTTTTGTTGGACTTCAAACTTCAGACTTCTAGAATAGTGAGAAGAAAAAAAGGGGGGGGGCTGTTGTTGGAACCCCGTACCGTGATGCCACATGGTCATAAACCCGTCTCTTGCGGAGTATCTAGTTGATACAATTAGTTCCGCCCATAGGTAGGGTGAGGTATGATGGAGGATTTACTGGCACATTGGAGAGACGATGATGCGGTTTTGAAGCTCGATTCCATTGATCTTCAGGGGTGAGAAGAGGGAGCCTTCCGGCTGTAAATCCCAAGGGGTTCCCGCAGGGGGATCCTGAACGGGCGTATAAAAAGGAGCCTTGATGGTTTATTAGTAAACCTAGGTATTTACTGGTCTTATTTCATTGTTAGAGACTCACATTTGGGGCGCCGTAGTTGATTAGATTCTTCTCAGTAGAGCAAGGCTCACCTGCTACGGGGGCTTGGTCGGCTTGGACTACCTTTTCGGCCATCTTGAATAGAAACACGGAAGGGCAACTAGGAATAGAGATGCCTTTTGCCCATAGTCAAGACCAGCACGTTCATGACCGAGTAATTTATACTCGAATCAGCCCTATGTCGTATAGCCGAAAGCTACCGAGTATACTACACCCTCCCCGCAGTTGTGTGTAGCATCTAGTCTTACATTATTATCAATCTATATATATTTGTAGATCTCGGCAGGCCACCATGGTCCAATAAGCATAAGTCTATTGCAGGTAGGCTATCTCTTAGTAATGCCCATACATGAGAATCCTTTATATGCAACAGAACCGCATCGCCCATGTATCATTAGCACGACTCCGGTAGCCCTATCAGCAGTCAATTGGAAGTTGCCCGATAATAACTGGAGTATGTCAAGGTTGTCTCATACTATTTCACGTGTCGCCATAAGTGACTATGTAAGTGTGAGATCTTATCACTGCTACTATGACAAATGTGTCAATGGAGCTCTGCTTTTACAAGTTATTATTAGTTCCGCTGCTGATTCATAAATACCTATTCGTAGAGCATATTGTCTTTAATCCCTTTCCTGAACTTGGAATCTCATTGCTATTTCTTAGCTTCTCAACTACTCCAGTCCATTCAGCACTCCCGCAATAGGTCCTATATCGCTTAGACAACCAGCTCCCGAGTAATACAACCCCCAATATTTCCTCTAAGGTTAATGAAAAGAGAACTAGGCTTATTCAGAGCATTGGAACTATCACTATGTCGGTAGACTGTAAGGTAAATACGAGAAATGTGGAGAACGAGTTAACGCTGTGGGCAGATCTGATATGGAAGCGTCTTTTTTTAAGCTGACTGAATAAGCGTCTTGCAGGATTAGTTCCGCTTAGGCCTTGGCGTAAGTGCACGACGATTTTCATATTACGGAGATCTGTGAAATTTGATATTCAAATAGTTGAGTGCTGTTACTGTATGGATATAATAGTGCTTATCACGGGTTGGGACTATCGACACTACCAAAGCCGGTAGTGCAGTTCTACCGATTCCCCGGTGGCGCAATTGGCTAGCGCGTCTGACTGTTAAAATAACTGTTATCAGGAGGTTGAAAGTTCGAGCCTTTCCCGAGGAGTTTCTTTTTATTTTATTCGATTCCTTGAATGAAAAAGAGAAGGGTTACTCACAACTAGTTGCATCTGGGTGCTTATATAACCTGCATTTCCACATGATTAATACCTCCCCAATTTGTACGTATATTTTGGCATTTGTGGTATAAGTGCGCAAATATTTGCAAAACTTCGTTACTTACTTCTCACCAAACATATCGAATAAGAGGAACCTTAAGAGGCTACGATCGAATGTATTGACTCTCATAGTGGTCTACATAGAACACGTGCTGGTATAATAGTTTCAAGAATAAGGACTTTAAATATATATCTCGAATGAATAAATTAGAGAATATAGCCTAGTGAAGATCTACTACAATTACAGGAGAAGAAAAACGAATTTCATTCATTCTCTTAACTGAGGATAAACTTGTCATCTGGTATATCTCTATAATTCGAAGTCCACGCAAGCCTACTCGTCGTACCTTGGTCTTGGACATGGGGCACCTCTTTCCCTATCCTCCGAAGTGTTTTCAACAGCGACGAGTCTTCTTTATCCGAGACAACGAAACCCACATCAGCAGCGAGCAGGCACTCTAGATCAGTCGTCGAATCGCCAAAGTAGACCGACGGTTTCCCGACCAGCCCCTCGGCCTCAAGCACGGCTTTCATGGCATCTAGCTTGTCATGCGAGTTCGTCAAATTCCTCTGCTCCTTACGATGACCGCCATCGGCGCCTCCCGGGTTCAATATAGGGGGCCCGACAACCGACCCGTCTTCGCGTACATCGTTCGCGATGACCTCGACGCCAGACAGCTCGCCGCACGCGCCCTCGATAAACGCAGAACTCCAGTTCACAGAGAGAACCCAGACGCGCCAGCCCTCCTTCAGCCTCTCCTGAACAAACCGGGTAAAGCCACACCGGAGCGTGATAGTGCCCTTCCCAACCAAGTCGCGCCCAGCCTCGCGGAAAGCAGTCGGGCTAATCCCTCTAAAGAGGCGACAGTCATTAATGCGACCGAGCGAGCGCGTCTCAACCGTCTTCATGTGCCGTAGAAACTCCACTTCCTGGGCAGGTAAGCTGCGTGCGTGGGGCTGGGGATGGTACCCGTCCACATGGGCGCTGTGGTCGTCGACGTAAGCGTTGACGACGGCATCCCACTCCTTCTGCAGATCCTGGCCCTCGTCTGCCCTAACGCGCAGAGCGAAGTTGGCTAGTTCGCCTACGGTGTCTTTCACCGTGATTGTCCCATCGAAGTCCAGAAAGATGCTCATCGTGGGTGAATACAAAGTACACGGAGGAGACGGATGGTGAAGAGTGGGGAAAGGAGAAAAGGGGGTCGTCGTTATTTTGGCTTTGGTTGGCTGGACTTAGGTAATATAATTGTGGGGATATTTGGGTAACCTCAATTGGAAGAGATCTCTCTCGAGGAGTACGGAAGTACATGGAGTCTTGGAAAAGGGGGTTTCTATTTATTTAATTCGACCTGTGGTAGCTTAACATGTTAGATTCACCACTAGTTTCCAGTATGTGCCCAGAAAAAAGAATACACAGCAATTCATCCGGCAGGAATGTGTCAAGTGAGTCAATATTCGCCAAAGCTGACCTGTAATAACATTAGTGTAGAAGCCAAACTAGTAAAAACACTAGAAATAGATCACTGCTTCGCATATCAATCAATGTACAAACATGCCGCTTTCTCTCTAAAATTTGCCAAGTCTATTACGCAGAGATACTAAATTTAGTTTAGTCTAGACTTGCGCAGACTCTGACCACTAATCCTCAGTCCTGATTGTGCGATGCCGAGGGTATCATTTATGGTACAAGGTCCCTAAGTATGTATCGTAACCGTAAAAGACGCCGTAACTCCTTTTCCCTGCCGTACGGCCTTGAGTCACCCGTGTTTCCCGACGGGACTCTATCCCGTACTCCGATTATGGAAGAACATCCTCCATCTCCGCGTCGGACTCCGATTCGTCCTCTTCGGGGGCGGCATCAGGTGCAGCACCGCTAGCTTCGTGGACATTGAGTCCTCTCTTGTGGTCTGAATTCAATTCCCAGTGATTGGCAAAACGTCCGGTCTTGTGGAGGATCGCCACCTCCTCCAAGTTCTCTCGTAGCCAAGCCTCCGGCTGATTTAGCGCCTGTTTGAAAGCTTTCATAGACCAATAGTTGAATTGCTCGAAGCATCTGAAGATACGATCGCGAAGGTCGCTCTTCGGTAAACGAGCGGCCTTTTCTTCCTTCTGCTTCTTGGCTCCCTTCTTGGCATCAGGACCAGTGCGCTGAAGATGTTAGCGCACTAGCGAGGTTAGAGATCAGAGTCGAGAGAAGACTTACCACAAAGTTGCTAAATTTATCGTTGGAAACATGCGCGCCAGCTTGGATAAGGCCTGTGGGTCTTGCGGTAGAGGTAAGCGTGGTGGTGGCCTTCGGTTTCATCGCATCATTGTTTCTTATGTTGAGCCAATGCTTAGTCTCTTCTGTCCAAGTCGGTCGACAGTTCAGCTCGTGACGAAATCGGCCAGCAAGAACCGTTTTCTCTGCAACCAATTAGTGTTCTAATGCAGAAATTGGCTGACGAGGTAGATGAAAGTGCGTCACTGACTGGGAATAGCCTTCCTGTAATAGGGCTGATATCGGGCTTTGCGGCCACGCTTTTCGCCATCTGGCTGCGCGGTTTGCTGGGGACGCTCTGGCTTCGGACGGAGGTATGCAGGAATATCGCTATTGGCTCCTTGAGCCTTCGATTTGTATCCAGGGAGATCTTGCTCAGTGAATAGGAATGTATTGGTAAGGCTCATATCCTTAACCTCCAGATTGTATTCTTTGGGGATCTGCTGATGGGGCGCAAGTTTATGGTCCAACAGGATAGCTATACGTGGCTATGACGGGATTAGCTGGGGTTTACAGGCGTTTCGGAATGATGAGTATTAATTCACCTTTGATTCTCCATTTGGACCGACCTCTGACCACTGGCGTAGAGTACCAATTCTGATTTCGTCATTGTCATCCATGTTCGCCCAGGCATCGTAAAGATATTTTGGTACGTGGGTCAAGTAAACGGCTCCATCTTGCAAATCGTTTGGGTCGTAGAATTCAAGATCTCCGGCGTCTTCGTAGATGTCATCTTCCGACATAGCCCCGGGGGAAGGACCAACATCATCAACTTCGGACTTGATGCCCGGCTCAGGCTTGATGCCCTGCTCGGCCTTGACTCTGGGTGCAGCCATGCTGACGGCCGTATCCGCTGTATCCAATGGGAAGGGAGTCGGGAAGGAGATTCGGCTTTCTCGAATGATGTTGTATGTTGTATGTTGTATGCTGCAATGATTTAGATTTAGATTACTGCGGAAATGTGGCGGGTGGATGCGGTGGAACAGTTGGATGTTGATGTAGAAAGGGTCGAGCACGCGGCTCGTGTCAAGACTAAAAGAAGCTTAATGATGTAAATCAGCCACCACTGCAAGCAGTAGGTTCTGATTGAGTGGGTCTTCAAATGTCTTAGGCTGATGGGTTGGCCTTAGGTAATCATACAGGAGTTCGAGATTGAATGATTGAATGTACGGATTACAGCTAGCTACCTACCTCCCCACCTAGGTACGTAGGTGCCTTCTAGATCTGATGTTCTGATTAGATAAGGTTAACATGCCCCACCTAGCCCGTTGTTTTCCACCAAACCGCCCGAAACCTTCCTTGCGCCGCAATTCACGTCTTAGACATCACACAATCGGAAAACATCACGATTAGAGTCTTGTTAGGTTACAAAACGTTAGTTCGAGGTTTGCTTCCTTCCCTCACTCACACGTATAGACATTCTAAGTTCCCCTCCCAATTCATTGACCGTGATTCCATTACCGCGCCTGACTATCATCACTGCCAGTATTGTTCACGCATTCCAGCTTCTTTGTTCATTGCGACTACAGAAGTCTACCCTAACCAATTTCTCTCTCCTTCTTGCCACTAAGCAAAGAAGTCGCGTTCTAAATAAGAATTGCATTATATTACACTATATATTATCCCACCTATCCGACAACTTTTTCACTTCCCTTGAAGCATATTTCCTTACGATCGACGAGGCATTTTCTCTAACTTCTAGTACCTAACTTACGTCTCATCAACTAGTCGCAAACATGCCAACATCTGAGGATCAAGAACTAGTGGCTAAGATCAGCAAATTAGCTAGTACGTTTGCCATGGCGTCTATATTCTAGGTACCTATTGCTTATTTAAAAACAGGTCAGATTAATCGCCACAAAGCCCAGCGCGATGGCTTGAATTCGGGTATGAAAACTTATTTGATTACGCCAATTGTTTATCACCATTAGAGATGCTAATTTGCCAAAGATCCCAACCCCCCTTCCCGAGCATCCCATTACCGTGCTGCCCCGTATCATCGCGGAAGCTATCGTGGCGGACGTGGCAGACCCCTTCCGACCTATCGCAATAAGACTCTAGTTCTCAATGGACAATCCCGACCTGCAGCCGATACTAGTGATACCGCCAACGAGGCTTCCGATCCTGCATCTCCGTCGTGGGTCACGAAGACAGACCGTCATATGCAGCTGATTAACACTTCCGTATACGAGAAGGAATCGCAGCAACGGGCTAGTGCCATAGAGCAGACTCATCGCCAGAAACAGTTTCAAAGGAACAACCGCGAGAAGACTGTTTTTATGAACAGCGTGGTTCAGAGGGGTGCTAATGGTAAACCTGTTGGGCTTCCTAGCCCATCCGTACCATCTTCCCAATACGAGGTTGTAGTGGATGGTATTCTCTTTCGAGTTGTGCAGCAAGGTAGCAAGCTTGTGAAAGCACCTGGTGAGCATTTTCTCGTGTGGATATGCAAGTGTGACGCTTAGTAGCTAACAATTAATTATTAGACGACGTAAACCCCCCTTCGGCTACCCCCAAAGTGACATCAATCGGTGGTGTCAAATTTCATCGTACTAAGCACGGCAACCTTGTGAGACACGGTGTCGTAAAAGCCCAGCGGTATGTATTCTCGAGTAGATCTAAATCTCT